AAATGAGAGTTATTAAATTTTTGTTTTGATGACAGTGATGACTCTTGGCTAAAAAAGAGCAAGCTGTCTAATTCTATTCCAATGTCAGTAGATTAAATACAATTTTCTGTTTACTCATAAATCCAATGTAATAATTTCATACTATGATTTGTTCCATAGTAGGGCTCCAGTGCTGCCAATTTCCATAGAGAGAACCTTATGCTTATTCAGAAAATCTTGTAGGCTCTGGACCAAAAAGGGAACCATCATAAGAATTCTTTGTGCCAAAACAAAAAAAATCTACTGTCAACCACATTTATTATTAGACTATCCCAAGAAGATAAGAAATTATTTAACTTTTAACAAGTAAAAACAGAGCAAAAATCCTGACAGTGCACCTCTTTCCCATCAACAGTTTAAAGAGAAAAAAAAAAAGGACGGAGAAGTAAGGCACTATGTACATCTCGCTTCTAACAGCGAGTCCTACAGTCCTTATTCAGGCAAACACAAATGAAAGCTGCAATATTTGACCATTTCTCATTTTTTTTTACCGATAAAATGTCAACTAGGCCTGTGCAAATAGGGAAGTACAGTGGAGTCGCATTATATACGCATTTAACTTGCACGAATTCAACTATATGCGCTCAGCAAAAAAAAAGAAAAAAGAAAAATAACAATTTAAATAGTGCGGGTGATTCTGCTCACCATTCCGGTCCACTTCCAGGTCCTCCAGGGAGCACACTGAGGACCCCGCCCCCCCGGCAATCAGATCAGCCACAGGGGGACCCCGGATGCCCCCCAGACCCAGGAGGCACCAGTCGCCGAGCTGGGACCGGGTAATTTTGACTATACGCAATTTTCGCCTTACGCGCTGACTTTAGAACCTAACCCCTGCGTCAGATGGACTTCTCTGTATTTGATTTGGATTTGGACAATTTGGAGGACAGGGATTCAATTCAGAGATTTGGATCACTGTCCTGAATCGATTTGGCTGAATCAGCTTTGGAAGATTTGGTGCTGATTTGGGGAGATTTGGTGATTTGGAGAGAAAGGCACAGCCAGGCGGCTGCAGGTTCTCCTCTAGCTCTGCCTGCCTCTGCCCGGGTGGGGGGAGCCATGGGAGAAGCCCCCACGGCTGCCCTGCCCAGCCCCAGCACTTAAAAAAGCAACAACTCCGCATTCGCAGGAGCAGCGATTGGGGCCTCTGGTTGGTTGTGGCAGAACCCTCCTGCACAGCGCAGGGCAGTGGGGATCGGTCCCCCACTGCTTGGCACCCGTGCTGGAGCTGGCCCATGGTACAGATGCGGTATGGCTTGGCAGGGTGCTGCGCACTGCCTGGGAGCTGGGGCCACTGAGGCTGAGTGCTGCCAGGTTCCAGCTGACTGCTGGAACTGCCCGTTCCCAGGCAGTGCGCGGCACCCTGCCCCGCCGAGCTGCCCTGCCCCGGCCCCATGGGGCAGCTGCCATGTGGGTGCTAGGTGGGGGGGGGGAGCAATCCCTGCTGCCCCACACTGCCCTGCGCTGCATGGTTGGACTCTGCCGCAAGCCCTCAGAGGCCCCAGTCGCCGCTGACAGAGCCGGTGAGCACAGGGCTTTAAAAAAGAAGTGTTGGGACTAGGCTGGGCAGGGGGGGGGATGGGGCTGGGCAGGGTAGCCATGGGGGCGTCTTCCAAGGCTCCTCCAGCTGCACCTGCCTCTGTCCCCACAGGGAGAGCTGCGGGGGCTCTGCCCTGCTGCCACTTGCCCAACTGGCATGGAGGAGGGGGGGCATGATGCAGGCGCAGCTTGTTCTGGGCAGCAGCAGGGCATAGCCTCTGCTCCCTGCCATGCCTGCATCAGTGCTGGGAGTGAGGCCTCTGCCCTACAGCCACTTGCCAGCTGGCGCAAGGGGGGCACGGGTTGCGGGCAAGGCTATGCCCTGCTGCCACTTGCCCCCTTTTGCCTAGAGTGAGCTGCACCCACATCCCTCCCCTCTTCTCCCCACTCCCCAACCCGCCAGCTAGGCAAGTGGCAGCAAGGCAGAGCCGCCACACCCACATCCCACACACCCCGCCCCAGCTGAGCAGTTTGTCCCAACCCCAATCCCCACCTCCCCAACCTCAAGACTTACCAGCTGGAGGCAGCTGTGTCAGCTACCTGTTTAGTCTATGGCCGAATCTCCAAATCAGCTGAATCTTTTCCGAAGGTTTTCCAAATCGATTCAGATGCTTCTAATTGATTCAGAGTTTTTCCTTGGTCTCCCGATTCAATTTGGAGATTCGGTCCCTGAATCGAATCAGCTACCAAAGCTTCGCACAGCCCTAATGTCAACTCATTGCTTAAAAAAACAAATAATTTCTGAGTCTACTACCAAATTCTTAATTGCTCCCTATATGTACTGTTCAGGGACCTAAAAGTACCCAAAATAGCTCCACTTATTATAAATATATTTGTATATATCTTATGCGTTATTGGTTCCAAGGGAATTTTTTTTTGTTCAAAGACTTCATTCACTATTTGTTCCATATTTTAAATCAGCTTATTGACCATTCATATTTCAAGTTGATATAGTGAAGTTGGTAAACATACATACCTTGGGAAAGAAGCTTCTTTACTAAGATCTTTGTAAACTAGACGGTAGGACCAGAAAATGTTTTATTTTATACATTCTCAGAATTCAATAACTGTACTTCCCTGTGAAAAGAATTTTTGAGGGTTAGATCTTTTATTGGCCAACTATATGGTTGATCTATGCATAGGCAAACTTTTGGGTGTCACAGTACCTTCCCTGTATTTCCGTGTGGTTTCTAGGGCATGCAAACTAACTATAGAGTGAGGGATGTAACTGGCATTATTCAAGGTTACAAGTGGTATCACACTTTGTATCAGTGATACTCTAACTTTGGCCCTGCAGACCAAAAGAGTGGTGTGGGGCCAATGTGTGTGTTGAATCAGGTCCTGCACTGCCTCCACCCAGCCTGGTGACGGCATCAGGCCTGCGTGTGCCTTCCACTGCCAAATTGCTGGATTCATGGGGAGCTCTGCAGACTGGATGACATGGCTCTGAGGGCCAAATCTGGCCTACAGGCTGGGGGTTGAGCACCCCTGCCTTATACCATGTTTTACTAGCTTTAGGACCCTGGCAAGTGTTAAATTTATAGTGTGGTTAATGTATTAAGTATCTTATAAACAGTAACCCTATCACATGTTCAGCCATTTATTGGCAATATAAGAAGAAACTAGCCAAGAGATGTTCCACGTTATGCAGAACATCTCTGTGGATGATTTGCATGGTTCCTTAAAACGACTGTGTGACACCTGGGCTGCCCCCAAGTCATCCCAATACCTCTTTATGCTGACTATCAGCTGATTACTGGCATAGGAGGGTGGGGAGCAGCCTTGTCTCCATGCCAACAGTCTCCCCAGTGGGAGCTACCCAAGGGTCTGCAAGTGCCAGGTAGGGGAAAAGCCCATTAAGTTAATTGCGTGGAAGATCAAAGCTGAGCATCCAAACCCTCCTATGTAGGGCTACAGGGGCCTGCCTGTGAATTTGCTGCACAGGGGGATCACGTCCCCCCACATGCTTTGAACTTGCTGGTGCAGTTGGAGCCCCAGCTCTGCTTGCCCTACCTAGCAAGTAGAAAAGATATAACTGGGATCACATGGCCTGTCATGCATGCATGGCATAGCAGGATGCATGTTTGTTGCAATTAGGGAACAGTTCCCATTGCACCATTAAATGAATGTCTGCCAGGGACTTTGGCAGACAAGGTTCCTTGGGTGAATTTGATATCTTTTATTAGACCAACCCAAATAGTTGGAGAAAAGTTATTCAGCAAGCTTTTGGGTTCAAAAACCCTTCGTCAGGCTAAGGAAGTGTCAGCAGTTGGTGTGTGCTCTTCCTGGATGGAATGAAAAGTAAAGAAGCCAGGGGCTGGGCTGGGCTGGGGAGTCAGTTGCCAGGCAGATTATAATGTATCAAAAATCCAATGTCTATGTTTAGTCCATGATCTCTAGTATCCAGCAGGTTGATGAAATGGAGCTCATAGGCTCGTCTCTGGGAAGTGTTGTGTATGTTTCCCTTGAGGATCAGGACTGAGAGATTGGAGAGAAAGTGGCCCTCCTGTGAGAAATGTGCCCCCACCGGTACTTGGGTATTTCTGTCTTTGATAGATTTCCGGTGTGCGTTCATTCTGGTGCGCAGTTGGTGTCTCCTACATATTTTCCATCAGGGCATTTGGTGCATTGGATGAGGTATATTACATTTCTGGAGGTGCAGCTGTAAGATCCTGGGATGCTGATGTCTCTGTTGTGGGGTGTAGTAATAGTGGGGGTGGTGGAGATGTGTTGGCAGGTTTTGCATTTCTTGTCCTGGCACGGTTTGGATCCTTTTGGTGTGTTCTGGGGTTGAGGAAGTTTGCTTCTGGTGATGAGGTTGGCGAGGTTCGGTGCTTGTTTAAAGGCGAGGATGGGTGGCTCTGGGAAGATCTTTTTAAGAATAGGGTCTCTGTCTAGTATGGGTTGCCAGGGACTTTAAAACTTTTCTGTCATACTACCCATCTACAGTGAAATATGCATGTTACTAAAATCTTATAATTACATCTAATATTGGTGACATTAGTGATGCAATGGATCATAGGCGATCATCTTTTGAAGCCAAACTAGCTAATTTCAATTAGAACTTTTTAAAATTAGCACAGTATTGTTTGACTTCTTACAACTTCATCAGGTCATCCCAGTGATGCAACTGTAGAAGGCAAGTGATTTTGTCTTACTGCCTTAAACATGTAATAACTTAAGTTGGAGGAATGCAGAGTTTAATGTTAATACCACTGCTCTGCTCTCAACAGCTGTTGGATTGTTTTTCTTTCTTTAAACATCAGAGTTGACATTTGGTGCCAATGGAAATTAGCAAAGCAAAGCTCTCAGCACACCTGGAGACAATAGTTGAACATGCATTTAGGGCTGCCTGATATCTTCCTCCTAAACAGAAGACAAGTTTGGCAAAAATTGCTACTGGAAATAAAAGACAAAATGCCATATATGGGTTCTGGTATTAAGGGATAACCAGCTTCTTAAAACATTTTAATTAGAATTTTAGATTTGTGAAGTTTCCATGAAACGAACATTTCTTAGTACCGCAGGCCTTGGGCAACCTTCTAAATATTCTTTTTTTTAACCTTAAGAGGTTAATGTAAAAAAAAAAATGCAATCTTATTTTTGTGCATCTATGTCTTAAGCAGATAGGCTTAAACTTTTTAAACTGTGTAGTTATGGTACTGGTTTGCCAGTTACAAAAATAAACAGTAAGTAAAACTGGAGTTCACTCAGAGTGGCAACACAAAAGACACAACAGTTGGTAACGTAACCACTTCTTAATAAGCTGGTGTTGAAAGAGCCGTCAGCAACTGCTTTGAGTAAAACATAGTAATAGATATAATGATGCAACTAAATATTTTTGACAAAATATCTTTTTTCAAATATTATTTGCCTCTAATGGTTCACAGCTAGAATATACTAGTTTATTGAATCTGACAGCAGTTACAATATCCTTGTCAGTATATCATCAAATAGCAAATGCCTCTTCCAAGTTATAATAAAAAGTTAAAAAAAAATAAAGTCCTTCTAATTACTAGTGCTAGAACACTAGGCATCACAGATACAATGTCATTAAGGGTCCTGAAGAATAATGAAAATAAATGGATCCTTGATTCCCCTTTTTTCTCCTTCTATCCGCTAAAAAGTCCAATTTTTACTCAGTCAAGGCACAAGTTAGTCATCTTGGGCTGAGTAAGGATTACAAGAAGTCTTGGCACAAAGGTGCCAACACATTTTTAAATTGTTAAAAATAAACAAACTGTGTAGCTAAATTCTCTCTTTATTCTCCTTCCCTTAATCATCAGTGTCTTTTGCTTAAATTATTTGAAGATCACCGATTATTGCCAGAACATATTTGGAACAAATGTGATGAGTGAAAATCTCTAATCTACAAGTGTGAAATATATATTTTTATAGCAGAGTGGGAAGGAATCTATTAACAACATATGTTAAATTCTGATTAGTGCCATGGATCTCACAGAAAAACAGCACTTTCTGTATGGGATATACAAAATAAAAATAAACCTACTCAGTAGCTCATGGATTAGCACTACATATGTTTGCTAGTTCCAGTTTTCAGAGTAAACTTAAGTCTTAGATATCATTAGAAGTAAAATGACAGTATTTTCTAATTTAGGGGAAAGTAAGGAAGAATATAACTGCTGGCTGTACTAAACTGTAGGGTATGGCTGTTGCTGTAGAACAGAGTGAAATGGATATCATGAAGCAAATGGAAAACAAGTTGAAGAAGAAAAGAACTGGGAGTTATACCTGCACTACTAATTATACCTATGTCCCTATTGTTAAAAAGTAGAGGAGCTCCCATTGTTCAACCCAACTGCTCAGCTGACAGTTTAGAGATCCTCCCCCTGTATCCTTTCTGTTTCCTCTGTTAGGTTGGTATAATCAGCCTTGTTTATGACCTGCAACCTGCTTAAAGTTTGTTCAGAATTTTAGACTCAACTACAGGGGAGGGGCCACATTTCAATTAATGACCTCCAAACCTAGTATTTAATTTACTTAATATTTTAAGCTTACTATGTTACATAAAAATACTTGGGGGAAGGACTTAGAGGTGACAGGTTGGTTTATGCAACAATACATAAGAATAATGAGTTCTTCTGTCCAACACCCTAACAGTGCAAGGTTGTCCACTTAGACCTTGTACTGGAAATAATTCCAGCAGCAGAGAAAATGGATGTTTAATTGATTTTGTAAGACATTAAAGCTTTGTGATAATTTTTATACTCATTTTCTGGGAAAGGAGAGTGAGTGGTTCTCCAACTTCTAAGAAGAAGTTGTTGTTATGCAAACTCTAGTTAGCTCTACATACTTACGGCATGTAAATTGCAAAGAAATATCCCCCATATAGGCTGCAGTTAGCTGGTCTGAAAATATGCTAGAGGAGAGGAGTAACCATTTAACTTCGCCTTTTTTACAGCAGAATTATGCTGAATTTGTATCCTATTACTGAGATTCTTTGGTGATGGCTAAACGTGTTGGGTTCTGAGTATTTAGACTATAATATGGTATGGTCTGAGGACTATTATTTATAAGGTAATGTATTAGGTTAATTTTTGAGACATTTCTACCAATTCCCTAGCTATAAAAAGATAGTTTTAATAAATGTATGCGATTAAACCATTCTTCTATAGTCATTATGTCAGCTATTCTTTAAATCTTCAGTTTGGAGTGGAGCCCCACCCCACTATTGAGACATCACATCAAGGTTCTATAGCGATATAATATTCCATTAGATATATATTACTATATAGTATTTTAAATGGGCTAACTTTACCATGTTTTGCAATAAAAGTCGGTGATGTTTCTTAAAAAGTATAGACTCAGTGCACTGTAGCTTAGCATTTCTAGGAAATGGAATATTCCATCTTCCAATAAAATCTACAGTGAACTGTTCTTCTAAGACTATCATCATTTGCATTGTAACCAGCAAGCACCTCCATGACTACTAAAGCAAACTGGTGTTGTGGAAGCTCACTTCCTACTTGAGTTCATACCCTAATATGCTAAACTTTTAGATAAAAGATTTATTAAAGAAAAAAAGGTGAACAGGTCCAAAATAATTTAGTCCAGCAAACAGTACATCTCTAGGTCTCAATAAAACATTATTTTTAATTCACTCCATTTTCTTTAAATAGTCCTCTTTGGTCTAGTCTTAATTCAAATTTGTAAGCCTGCCAAAAGCAAGAAAAATAACTTATTTTAGTTTCAGATTAGTTAAGTGTGAGGTTGTTTTGCTCCCCTTTTTCTTTATAAATATGCATACAGGTTACTATTCCACAAATACAAAAGATAGAAATGATTGCTCTCAGATACAAAACAGATGAAGAGTCTTCTAGAAGGCTACTTCCTTTCAGATGCCATTCTGTAGATTGTTATCTGGGGACTTCCAAAAGCTTGAGAGTTCTGCAAAGTACCCTTTAAAATTCTCCTGTCATCCATTTTCATGCTCCAACATCAGAGGTTGCTGCTGAATATCTGTAGGAATATAGCTTGTTGTCTGCTCCTCCACTTAACAGCAACTGTAGTGTGAAAAAAGAAGTTGTGGCAAATCGAGTTTTGGTATCTGAACAACATCTAAGCTTTTTATTTAAAAATAATATTAACAGGTTATGTCCTTCCTCTGAAATTGAATGTGAGGAGTAACGAACAATGGTTGTGTGTACACAAGTGACAATCCTCCCCGCCTCTAATTTAAATGGCTCAACAGCATAAATAATGGTTTACACCTTACCTTCCTTTTGAAAGTAATTAAGGAAAGATGCAGCTTATGTAAACATTTTCTAAATCTGTATTGGTTTGCCACAATTTACTCTCCAAAGAATGAGGCCATTGAAACTGTGGCAAAGAATTTCTTTTGTCTGTATTGGCTATATACAAATGCACACAGGAACCCTGCCATAAAGTTCAGCCCAAAGGATAATCTTTTCTTCCACTTTCACATGCCTGACAATGTTCCACAGAAGGGGTAGAGCTCCTAGTAAGGGTGCTATATACGGATGAGTCTTGGCAGCCTCCATAGTCTCTGGAGTAGCAAACAGTGCTTCAAGGTAATACATTTTCATCATCAGACATATCATTGTGAATGGCTGCTGCTGTGACTTTTCTACCATTTCTTGGCTTTGTCCTACTAATGTTTTGGCAGATCTCCCACATTATTCCATGGAGGGGAGAAAGGGAACCATATGATAGTGATGTAGGGGAAAAATGGTTATGTAATAGCAGCACATACTGTCCATTCCTAGACCATCATTATACAAGTAAGGCTCTCTCTACTTTCTTCCATCCCTCATAAAAGAGAGGAAAGTATGGCCCAGCACACACAGGTGTATGTTTCCAGTTACAAAAATACATTATAACTGCCTAATTTAAAATTAAATATCAGCCTTATAATTAGTACGTTTCTCACCCAGAACACATGCACTCTTAAAAGGAATAAAGTCCTGTTCTTTAAGTTCTTACCCCAGCTTCAGTCCAGTCCACACACAAAACCTTGTCTTCATGAGCAGCCAAGTCATAGAGAGGAGCCTTGCAACTGATAATTAGACAATTTGGCAATTTAGATAAAAAGATAATTTAGCATCTTAATTCTTTTCATAAATTTATATCATATATAGACTTGTTTATAATATATATTAAGTTGTTTCTCACACAGAAAATAACTAGGATGCTATTAAAAGAGTAGACATTTAAAAGATAATTGTTTTTCCACAGAAATTAGTGGTAAAAAGTACTAGTCATGTGCTGGTTATTCAACCACTAAATTCAGAAGTCAGCTGTTCCAGATGCTCTCTCATATCTCTAGAAAATTGTGTCTGCACGAGAAAACTAAATCATCAATGACAGACCATAGGGACAAGATACCAGTGGTGCAGTCAGTACAAGACATAATTTGTTTCCAGTTTTGCCCCATGTGTGTTCTGTCTTTGTATTTCACCATTACAAAGCTGAACTGCTTTCTGGGTTCTCAGCCAATGGTTTTCAGCAGCTATCTAAAGCAGTGGCTCATAGGAAATTTTGAACAGCCTTCTGGAAGCCTGGAGGAATTGTGGAATAAGAGGGACAGTTCCCAAGAGGCTCTGAGTAGTGGTATTATCGCCTTGTTTCTTCTCAAAATGGAAGCCAGGAACAAACACTTATCCCATGTTTCTTCCTTACCAATGATTTTGAATAATTGGCTGTTATGCAATACTTGAGAATTATAGTCACTGGGAAGAAACAGGAGAAGAAAGTTATCTGTTCTTTTGATGAATAAGTCCTGTTACTACTGCATCACCCTAAAAAACTGAAAGCTCAGATCACCATGGAAAAATTGGCAATAGTTCTATGGTGGTTAACTACCCCAGTTAGATACAAGTGAAGTAGAGCACCATTTAAGATCTGAAAAAAGTCTTTACTGTTATGTGGAGATATGTATGGTAACATGAACAGCAGACACATACAGGCAGGTCTATGAAGTCTGAGACACCACCTCTAACACAAAGCAGATTACTGTGAGTGTTGATCACCGCCCTCCTATGTCCCTACAAGGAAATGCAGAAATATTTTCACCTGCCTGTACCTAGTTAAATGAGATTATAAGGTACACAGCCTTTTTAAAAAAAAAAAAATAAAAGACTTGATTATGCACTCAAATCATAGGCTATTTGGTTCCCTTTGACACTTCCCCTTTCAAGCTTAATTTAGACGTCTCGCTTCTGCACATCTCAAGATACAAACCAACCTCTCCTTGCAGACGAGTCTCATGAAATGTCTATAACGTGGAGCAAGTCAAACTGTATGTAATGTTAAGCTCTTCCTGAAGTGAGAGAGAGAGCATGTACTACTCCTAAAAATCTTGTTGGAATAGCAACATTGATTCCCTGATTCTCAAACCTACTAGCAATTTTGTTAATGAAACCTCCCCGCCAGTCTCATTAATTCAATTTTTATTGTCATAAAAATCCTGTGTTGGAAGATAAGATACCTGATAAGAATGGCAAGACAGATTTGGCATGCACTAGATAGAAGTGCATCTTGCCCTCCACTATACACCTGTTCTCCAATTGCTTCAGGCATTTCATAAACTGCAGGAGAATCTCCACTTAGCTGCCTGGTATATTTTCAATGTATATTAAACTACTTGAACCTGCAAGTGTTATCTGTGAATGTGTCAAGAACATTTTTTACCTCCTTGTGTCCCATAGCTTGACAACGTTGTCTAGAGAGCCTGAGATCAGCTGTTGCTCATGTGTTGGGGACCACTTAACAGACATGACCCAACCAGTGTGAGAGGTCAGAGAAAGGAGAACCAAGGAGCCGTCTGGACAGAGAAACAGAAATTCTGTAAACCCCGACTTTAGATTTCCACAACAGGTCAGTTTATGATCCTTACAAGATACAGCAAGACAGTAAAGATTAATGTATATGAGTTTTGGGTAATTATTTTTGCTTTTAGCATTCCACATGAACTTTTCAGAGAAAAGCCAGAGATATTAAAACAAAGACGTAAAAGCAATATAAGCTCCTATAGAGAGAACAAGAAACCAAAACTCATCATGTTGTTATTATTATACAGAGATTATCTTCATTTTTGAAGGATTTCTTTGAAAAGTAATGAACAACTCAAAGTATTAGGATTGGGATAAGAGAGTCTTATCTCTAGATAATATGTTTAAATCTGGCCTATATTTGTATAAACTAAATAGAATTTCTGTCTATGAAATGAATATGGTAATCTCAATCTATATCCTGAATTGCAATGACTGGCAACCTTATGAGACTCTGTGAGAAATCTAAAAATGGACAGATACGGGATCAGCTGCGCTTGCACTTCTAAAAAAGGTCCCTCCTACTGAAGACTTAGACATGCCAGCAAGACAGTTGCATTTATTTTATAAATAGTAACTTTAGGTTTCACAGCTGTTACTTAGATAACTTTTAAGATTAAATAGGGGGAAAATAACATAAAAGAAAGATTAGATTAGTTTTCCAAGGTAACTTCTAAGAAATGAAAAAAGCATGGACCAAAAGACAAAGAGCATAAATAATATGAAAAACCAAGCAAGTACAAGCTACTACTCTGGTCAGCAGGGAAGGAATGATGGCTTCTCACCACTTGGTACAAGCATGCTCCCATGACTGTAGGTTATGGTACGTAGCAGACCCTAGTTCATACAGCTTTCCCCAGCCTTCATTGTTCCTGTCATATTTTAGCTAAATGGTATTCATGCTCAGAAAACCCTACTACATGCAATATCAAACTTAAATGTACATCTCTTGAAACAAATTAAATGGAGACAAATTAGAGAGTGCAGAATGTCAATGTTCCTTCAGTTTACCTTTGCTGCGGGGATCCCACAGTCTGATATGTCTGTCAGAGCTCCCAGATGCGAGACGCCGACATAGTGGTGAGTAGGAGATAGAGTTAAACACTTTATTTCCTGTCTGCATAAGAAAAATTCAGCTATGAAATAGGACCAACTCTTCATCCTTGTAAAAGTTCTTAATCTAATCTGAGATGAGTTACAGCAGACAGGAATTTGTCAAAAAATCCTATCAGCTTCATGCATTGGATACTGTATCTCACCAAAGTTGATTTGAGACCTCCTGTTTCAACATCCCATATCTTAATTGTGTGGTCCCATGATCCACTGCATATTTCTTCAGCATCTGACCACAGCACAGAGGAGATGGCTTCTGTATGACCAGAAAGGGTTGCCATGGGAGTCTATAAATTAAGGATGAGAAAAAAACCTGGATTAGTTAAAAGGAGAAAAGCCGATTATTTCATTAATGTTAATGTAAATTCAGTGGCAGAAATTCCAACAGAAACTTTTCTTCAGATATATTTAGCAAAAGAGAAACTGATAATGTCATGCTTTTCAACTGAATTTCCATGCAACTTCTAACTTAACCATACCCTTGTCAGTCCAAGTTGTTCAGTTTTCTGCTTCTTTCTTGGTCTGTTTGTTGCTTCTTCCACTTCATCCTCTTCATCTGTAGGTACTATGACAGAAACAAATCCCAGAGCTTTAATAAATCAAGCTGAAGAATGTTTCTATCTAAGTTGTTATATGTCCCCATGACCACAGAATCTACTAGCCCTCCAGATATGAATGTATTTATGCTCAATACTCCTAGATTAGTATTGTTGCTTTACACATGGTACACTTAAAACAAATGGATTGTGACCTTTCCAAAATCCCAGCTGAATTCCTTAATAAAGCTATCCTTCCTCATAGAAAAACTCACAGTACATCCATCCTATATTGCATGTGTATTCACTATTTTAAAATTGAAAGTACACAAACAGACAGCAGACACACTTTTAAAGATACAGGCTAAATATAAACAGGTATTATGAAAGGAAACAGTGACAGTCAGTTGGAGTAGGGAACCTGGATAGGTATCTTATATTTCTGAGAGAGGATCAGCTTAGTGAGATTATCCCACAATTCAGGATGCAAATAAAAGAATAGGAAGGGAGAGGTAATAACTGCAAGACTTCAAAGCTGATTAAATGCTAAAATGTGTCAAAAATATTTTGGGAATGGAGGGGGAAATAAAAAAAGAAAACAGCTGTAGGCAGCTATCAGCCACATGATAGCTAAGGACATGTGCACACGAACAAATTATCAAGAGGTAAAAAACGGATAGGACTTTACAAAGCATCAGATGCTTTATGATAACCACCTGTGTGCATGTTCCCACTGTGGTAGACAGAAGCTAAACTTGAGTAACTTGGCCCTCAATGGGTACATCTACACATGATGCTATGTTGCTATAGCGATGTGCTACCTCAGAGTAACTACAGCAAAAGCCGTGTTATCCGGCACTTTATCAACTGGAAAGCTCCACTTACTGGCATCTGAGAGAGTTGGCAAAAGCAAAACCGGAAGTCCCACTTCCGGTTTCACCGCCATGAGCCGAGTTCTTCTTTTTCTTCACTTCACTACTTCTTCAGCCCACGGCAAAGCAGCCTGCGCGGGGCCCCATTCCCTGTCCCGGCACACTGATGCCAAGGAGTGCACCAGACGGTGCATATTTGATTAACTGGCATATCTGATTAACCAGCATCCCCCATTCCTGGGGGATGACAGATAACAGAGCTTTTGCTGTAGTGTGTATGCACATCCAACTAGTACTCCGATGAGTGTTAAGACAGCATGCTCTTTGGCTAAACTGTGACATCTGTATATGGATAAAAGCCATAATCTGTTTAAGGTGACCAAATGTCCACTATTGCAGGAAAAGCAGCAAATAAATTATTAAAACAAGGGGAGCACCAATAAAGATTTTCTTGGCCGATACCGATGGCCATATCAGCCAATACCGATCTGATAGCCGATTTACAGGAATGCAGCTGGGCAGCCTGGAGAGCAGCATCCAGCTGGTAAGTCTGTGGGGGAAAGGGGCATGTGGGGGGGGGTACAGATCGAGGCCCCCACGATGAGGGACAGAGTGGGGTGGGGGCTGGGGCAGGCACTGCCCAGCCAAGGCAGTGAATGCGACCCTAGGGCAGGGCGCAGCTCTGAACGGCTAATCCAGGGAGTGTAGGTGAGGCATGCAGGGCATGTGCTCCCTCAGATTTGTGCTTGGGGTGAGGGTGGGCTGCCCGCTGTAGGCTCAGGGCCAAGGGCTGGGTGGAGGGGCTGGAAGCACTCCCAGCAGGGTTGCATTCACTGCCCTGGTTGGGCATCACCTGCCCCTGCCCCACTCCCTCCGAAGCCCCTTCCCCCCACAGACTTACCAGCTGGATGCTGCACTCCAAGCTGCCCAGCTGCATTCGTGGCCGTATGCATGTGTGCAGCTGCATGCCTGCATGCGGCATTTATCAGTGCCATTATCGGCTAAACCAGCCAAAAAAAGCCAATTGGCAATAATGTTAATTTTCCTGTTATCAGTGCCGATTCAATATGTGATTGATACATTGTTGTATCTCTAATAAACTCCTATGAATTTCACATATAACTTCTGGTTAAACTCTGCAAGCTCCACTTCTTTCTAGCTATCATTCTGTAAAAATATTAGAGTCCAGAATATGTTTAAAGTCAACGGTTTTATCTTGAGAAAAGAAATGCATATATACACAGTAATCATGCCAGGACATTTTGCCGGGTTAGAAAATAGGGAACTTCTTGGTTTAGACACAGCTGAGCACAGTACTCAGTCCTGGAACACACGGACTTAATATCTGGTTAATGCTTGCTACCTTGCACAAATCTACCTCTTGCAATTTTCTCCCCCACATTGCAAGAGATACCTCTCTTGTCATGGTAGATTTGTCAAATTAAGATTCAGTGACTTCATTTTACTAGTTATCTTTTTGTTATTATGGTTAACAATTTGTTGTAAATATAAATACAAACATCATACTACTGATATGTTAGGAATCAGCATACGGAGAGAAACCATATGGACAAGGAACAGGTCCCAGAATGTTTTTTCATTTTTTGCAAAACTGTCAGGAAGGGGCTACACAATCCAATGCAAAATGGATGAAAGGGGTAGTCTTTTTAACTCATTCTGTTCTTTCTACATTAACCTAACTTATTTTTTCATCAGACCACCAAAGAAGATAAATAGTGCTCAAAGTTTATATTTTATGATTTAGCTTTTGCCACTTCACTGAGATTGTAGCATAATGCTTTGAAGTTCCTGTTAAAACTGAAATCTATATCACAATCCAAGTGCAGCTATTGTTGCTCCAAAATAATCTACATTAAAAAAAATTAGACCCTGGCAAAAACATATACAGCCATGCTTAAGTTTATTACCATGAATATAAAGAATTTCACTGAAATCAATCATCACCACAATAGCAAACTTAAGCATATCTATAAGAGTTTCCAGAATTGGGGCCTCAGATTTACTGGGGCTGTTGACAGATCTTAATCCACAAAACAGCTCAGAAGCAAATAAACTACAATAACCAAAGTTAAATACAAAACCAGGCATTTCTTACATTCTAAATGAAAGTTATATACAAGCTATAGCATTTGAAAATATGACTTTCTGGTGTAATTGAATAATTAGTTGTATCATATTTTAAAGAGCTAGGGCTTTTTATATAACTCACCTGAAAGAAGCTGACATTTTCACTTAGATTTGTTAATAAAAGAAAAAAGTTAAATATTCACTTTCAGTTTTTACAGAGCTTTCAGAATTATTTTAAAATTCAAGATGGCAAGAATTCTGGAGAAGGTTTAGTAATAAATCTTACCTGCAGACCAGATTTTTAACATCTTATCCCAAGATCCACTGCAGAACTAGATAAATAGAAATGTCTATTAAAAAAATATAAAAATCCAACTAGCTCTCAGAAGCCATAGGAAGTAATCCTGCCACAAAATGTTCACCCATACATTTTATTGTACGATGAATCAAAAAATGGATGAGTTGCCCTGGACTCTTCTCTTTTCACTCCTAAACAAGGCTGTGCAATTAGTTCATTTTTTGGATTGGCTGCCAAATCAAAAAGCACAAACACTTTGGTTCAGATTGGACTAGAAGTAACTTTTTTTTGAAAAAACAAAACCTGAATAAGACTTCATTTCACTTGACCTAAATGTTACATTCATTTTAGTGAATCCCCACAGACTCCAGGGAAGGAAAATGGTGCAGTTTGAACCAATGTTTCATTATATCTTTCAGGTATGTATCCAAATCACTTGGATAGGAAATATTCTGATACGGGTGTTCCACCATGCCTCCTGTTTGAGCTGCTCCAATTTGTATACCTTATTTCCCAATAAGCCAGGGGCGGGCAATTATTTTGGGCAGAGGGCCGCTTACTGAGTTTTGGCAAGCTATCGAGGGCTGCATGATAGGCAGCCAGGGGCAGATAAATATTAATTTTCTTAATTTTTTAGGGGCCCCACGGACCGGCCTGGCGGGCCACATTTTGCCCACCCCTGCAATAAGCAGCAAGTCAGGGTGAGTGTTTCCCTGGCCTGGTGGTTAGGACACAGGTTAAAAGCGAGATACCTGGGTTTCAGCCTTAATCCCATAAATCTGTATTTGAATTATTGGCATAAAGTAGAGCAGTGGCGATGGAGAGAGTGAGAGCTCTGCTAATCCTGAATATTGGAACCTGGTGGTTAAGAAACTCTTTTGGGAGGTGGGTTCAATTCTCCTCACCCAGAAGGGAAAATTTAACCTAAGACCCCTACAGACAGGGTGCAGTGCTGTAGCTAGTGGATAAGATGAATGATCTTCTTTTTCTCCTCCCAGTTTTGTGAAAAACTTTCCCCATCTGAATCCATTTAGTAAATTTGGGTAAAATTCACAAATAATTCCAGTACAACAAAACATGTATTTTCTAACAAAAATACTATACACTGAAAATATTTTGCACAGCTCTACTCCTAAAAGCCCAATTAACTGCGTAACTCAATAAAGCAGTGTCAATATCTGAAGCTACCTTCAGATTGTATGTGCAACACTGGGAACTATGCAAGTCTTTCCAATATAGCACATTTTTACATCAAATGCTATGTTATCACTAATTTATAAAAGTCTTGGTATCTCCCATTAATGCACAGACATATACTAACAGGATGCATTTCCAATCCTTGATAATATACAATGATCAATATGTATGCAGATAATAAGAAAGTGTATATGTATGCAATCTACACACAACACGTAGGTCACTAACTCAACAAAGACCTTCCCCTGCAAATAACTTACTTTTGTTCTTGTACAGTCAACAGCAATAGAGTCAACACTTCCAGCATGTCCTCTGCAGCAATGCAGGGCTTGCACTTTGTTCCTTTCTATATTCCACTCCCATAGCAGGATAGTCTGATCCATAGATGCACTAAGTAGCAGGCATGACAAACTATCTGAGGAAGGAAGAAAGCAAATACTCCTATATAAATCCACTTACAGCAGTCTTTTTAAAAAACTTTTACAGAATGTATAGAAATGACCCAATGTAAGACTCTAAATTTGTAAGTACCATGAAAAGTGCCCAGAGTTAATTTTTAGCAGTATTTAAACAGTTAAACAATTATTAGAAGATATGATCATTTTTAAAAATATGGCTTTTGACTTCATAAAGGGATTGCATTAATGAGGTGATTATTCAGTTTCTAACTTATGACCAAGGTTCCTGGTTTTCTCAGTTTAAAAATTGTAAATTCTCTGCAACAAACAAACAAACAAACAAACAAACAAACAAAAAACCCAAAAGAGAGAGAGAATTGTAAATTCTCAGATTAAAAAAAAAACTCAAAATCCATGATTAAAATGAAACACCACTATATATATAGGTAGCAATTGAACACAATGTTTTATTGATATATTTATAATTTTAAAGCAAGTTGGAAGCCTACCAGTGCCTCAGTCACTATAATAAAATAAATTCTAAGTACCTATACATTTTGGTATTTGATTTTGGGTTTTTTTTATCATGGAAAATCAGAGCTCCCCCTTCCCCCTTCAGTCACCAGGATATAGGTCCAGGTCCCTCACTCCCAAGCCACAGCCCCCAGCCCTGCTGGTGCCCCCCACTGCCCACCCACAGTAACCCTACAGCCCCCAGCCCTGCCAGAGGGGGCTCCCAGCTGCCAGGGCTATGGGGCCAGGGACCCAGGTCCGCAGCCCTTTACAGCAGCGCCCAAGCCCTGGCTGTTGCCTGTGGGAGCCGGCAGCTGCTGCAGTGGAGCAGAGCACAGGTCTTAGCTCCCCTTCCCTCTCCTCCATGGGTATTATGGCTGGAGCAGAGCCCGTGGTGGGGGGTGAATGAGGTCTGCAGGCTTGAGCTCCCTGCCCTGCTGCCCTCTGCCTGGGGCCTCTGTGGCCCAGTGGGTAAGACCCGGTGCATCATGGCAGAGCAGGCCAGGGAAGCTTGGTACTGCCACGGCGAGGCGCCCCCTGCCCACCTGGGAGCAGCAAGGGGCACAACTCTATGCCACCACCCCTGCTGCTGCCAGGAGGGCCAGAGGCACCTTGCCATGGTGGTATGGGGCTTGCAGCAGCAGCACTGAGCCTTCCTGTCCAGCCCTGCTGTGGAGGGTCCTACCCACTGGGCCATGGAGGCCCCAAGGGCAGGGCAGCAGGATGGGGAGTCCAAACCTGCAGTGAGCAGTCCACCCCTGCCCTGTGCACAGATCTGGGGGGCACATACCCCTCTGACCCCCTTGGAAATGCATTCAGTGGCAGGGAGCCAGCCTCCTGGCCCTCCAGATGAGGCCCACAGCCCCATCCCACTCCCTGCCCAGGACCTGTGGCTGCACATTCTAGCCCCAGCCCCAAGCTTCATGCACTGCCTAGGATGGGCAGCATCCCCAGCCCTGCCCAACTCCCTCCCTCCCTATAGGGTCCTCAATTCCACCCCCACCTGCCACATGCATGTGTGAGCATGCACAAGACACCCCCTAACTGACCACCCTCCTCCTGCTCTCCTCAGCCCCTTGCAGACAGGACTCTGCCAGCCTGCAGAGAGCTCTTTGCAAAAGTGGAAAAATCTGTGTGTTTCTCTGTTAAAATGAAAAATTTGCACTATTCTCAGCTGAGAGAGAAAAATAGGTGGTTTTTTCCTGTGGGAAACTGAAAACCCGGATCTCTGCTTATAACGCAGTGCTTACAATAACTATAAGCATCGAAGGTTTGTTTGGGT